CAGGGTCAGGGGAAACAGCGGGGTGCATGGAGGGTAGCAGTGGGAGCAGACACAAACACACACACGATATAATGAAGTTACAAGAGCAGAAACAGTAGCAATGAGATAGCATAAACCTCAAAGGAGGGAGGGCTGAGAGTGGAAGTGGCAGGGCAATAACGAGCGGGTGGCAGGCTAGGAGAATGCTAGGCCTTCCAACTTTGAAGGATGGAGAAGTGGGTTGGGTAGGCGGACAGTGTACTCTCAGGAAGCAGAGGCCACAAGGGAAGCAGGTGTGCATTTTGGCCAGAGAAAGGAGGGACCAATATGCTGAACTACTAAGGAGGTTACATCATTTGTTTTACCATAGGCAGGGGTTGCAGAGGTCACAGGAGAATAATGGGAGGGAGCCGACCCATGAAAAGTCACGCGGGCCAGGGGCAGGGACACACCAGCACCAGCAATGAAAAAGGGATGGCACCTGTGGTTGGCAGAATAGTGGCCCCCAAAGATGTTCATGTCCTAATCCCTGAACCTGTGAATATGGTATCTTACTTGGCAAAAGGGACCCTGCAGATGTGATAAAGTGAGGGATCCTGAGATGGGGAGATGGTCCTGGAATATCCAGGAGAGCCCAATGTCAGCACGAAGGTCCCTACAAGAGAGGCAGAAGGATCAGAGAAGGAGACACGGCAATGGAAAGAGGCTGGAGTGATGAGGGCACACAAGCCGAAGAACACAGGTGGCCCCTAGAATCGAGAAAAGGCAAGAAAACAGATTCTCCCCCGTGGCCTGCAGATGGAGTGCAGCCTGCCGGCCCATGTTAGACTTCTGACTTTCTGAACTTGAAGCTAACAAATTTGGGTTGTTTTAAGCCATTGAGTTTATGGTCATTTGTTACCGCAGCAAAAGGAAATTAATACAACACCTTAGCTATATGGAATTAAACTCAAACTATACTACTAAACTATAAAAGATATATAAAGAAGTCCAAGAGAGTTTTACCTTTTCTCATGATGACTTTCATTTTGTTCTGAAATGCCAAAATTTCTCGAAAATGTCGAAGTGTTCCTGCTTTGCAAGGGCTTAAGCATATACTTAGCCTATCCCCTCAGCAACCCAACACTTGCTAGGGAGAGAGGAACATCTGCCTGGGATAAAAAGCAGAGCTTTCTGGGCCAGTGATTAGGACAACAGGCATGTGCACTTTGGTGGGACTCACTGTCACCAGGAAGGACGGCTTAGAGCGAGGGCGGGCTGTGCGTCTTGGGTCAGAGGCCTGACAGTGCTGTAGATGTGGTTTACCCCTGAGCGCTGGGGCTGGACAGGCAGAGACCCTGGTCTGCTCAGGGCCAGGAAACACTAGAAGTGGCATCTGGTCTTCACGCTACTCGCTGCTGTCCCCTGACCCCACTCCTACCAATGTGAGCTGGGCAGATGGTGGCTGCCTGGTAAGTCCATGTCGATGGGTCAGAGTGGGCAGGCTGGGACAGCTTTATGAAAGAGAAGCATCTTAGGGGGCACATGGACCTATGAGGTCTAGGGGCAAGAAGAGACACAAAGGCCTTTCAACGTGGATAAAGACTCTGAGCAGTCAAGTGGTGGCAGCGACAAGTAGGAGTTGGTGCGTGGACCAGCCTGACAGGCGTGGAGGAAGCCCTGTGCTGGTGCACGTCTGCAGATGGGGCTAGACTGTGGGGCTTCAATTCCAGGCTGACCTATTTGAACTTGATGTGATGGGCAATGGGTGAAGAGAATGCTTTAGGGAGACACATCCGATAGTTAGATGACAGGCAGGGAGAGATAAGAGAGAAAGTTTTTAATACCAACCTCAAAACAGAAGAAAAAAATATTTTAAAGTTTAAATCAAGTCAAGATAGGCATGTTTCACCAGTAACGAAGAGAAAATGTTTTTCAATTTTCTTCGTCAACAGAAGGTGTTTATATTCTTGTATACTCATTACCCCAGATGGTAAAATAAATTATAAAATATAAAACATTTTACTTTGTCTTGTACAAATAGAAATTTAAAACAGACCTATATATATGCAAAAACCTTATGTACTAATGAAATAAGCATACTCTTTTAAAAATATACACACATTTTCTTGGTAGAATACACATCTGATTTGCATGATGGAATTGATCATGTGTGCGTGTGTGTGTCTGTGTGTCACTGGTCTATCTTCTAAAACTCGAATATTAGGATGAAAATTATATTTTAAAAGTAAAGCAATACTTAATGTCTTTTAAATAGTTTTCCATTCAGGGTATGCAAACTATTTTAAGTTTTATTTTCAACATTTCAGTGTCAAAAGCTGAAGAGTTCCACCTCAGCTGGCTGACCTGAACACCATTATTGTAATATAGGCACACCTCAGAGATATTGTAGCTTTAATTCCAGACCACTGCAATAAAGCAAATAATGCAACAAAGTGAGTCACACAAATTTTCTGGTTTCCCAGTGCATATAAAAGTTATGTTTACACTATACTGTAGTTTATTAAGTGTACTATAGTATCATGTTTAAAAAAATGTACGTACTTTAATTAAAAAATACATAATTGCTAAAAAATGCTAACCATCATCTGAGCCTTTAGCAAGTCATAATCTTTTTTGCTGGTGGTGGGGGGTCTTGCTTTCAATTCGTAAAAAACGCACTGTCTGCAAAGCGGGATAAAGTGAAGGTATGCCTATATCTACACAGTGAAAACAAACATTAATAGTCAGGAGCGCAATGTCAACACAAAAGTGAGTCAGTCTGATCTTCCTTCTTGAAAGGCTGGCATGCACCACCTGCCTTTGTTATTCTACTGAAACCTATGTTCAAATATAGATGCTTGCTTCACCTTAGAATATAAATGTCAAGTTAGAGCAACACTATATCTTGAAAACAAGCAGCTTCTTCAGTCATCAGGACAAATCAGACATGATAATTGGTAAGCTTCATTCTTCTCCTCATTCATGGTGGGAGGACGTCCCATGTCAGCATGGAATACCTCGTAAACTCATTACTTGTACATTCCACCGACAACTAACATTCTATATCATATTGTTATCATGTTTTATGGGCATATCTTATATCCCAACTAGATGGCAAGACTTTAAGAAACCACGTCATAAACTCCTTAGTGTTTCCACTGCCAGGTCTTACAAGGTGCTTTGCACACACAGAGCCTTAAAAACGTGAGTAGCTTGACTGTTAACTTATGAGTGAAGACAAAGGCATGTCAACATGTCAGACAGGTCTGCTTTCTCCTGTACTAACACTTCAGTGTCACCTTCAGAGCTGACAAATATTAGAGTTCAAAAGCTTGAGAAAGTCATATTTTAAAGTCATATTATTAGCCAAGGAATCATCAAAGACTGATCCCCTGCTCCCCACTCATCTGCACTCAACAGCCAGCCTCACAGGTTCCCTGTACACCCCCAGAGAACCACTCCCGTCTTTACAGGCCACAAGACTGTCCTCTCATTTCACGCTTCCCTGCATCTCTTTTGTCAGATCTCTGTAAGGTGAAGGGAGAAAAGTTCACGCCCCATTGTCTATTGTTACCCAGTTCCCAATAGCGCCATAAGGATTTATTTTCAGCAATAAAAATCCCACATTTGCCCCTTGGTGTTTTTTTAGTTAACACTAGCTGGTCTTGAGGGGAAATCTGGGGAAGAAATTCTCTATTCTGCAGGTATTCTTGCAATACTTGATGGATCTTAAAGGAGGAACTCAGAGAAATAATGTTAATACACTGACTGACTGAGATGAGGGGAAGAAGGCAAGAGCTGGACAGAGAAACTAACACTTTGCTGCCATCAGCCAGAACTTGTCTTGCTCTGGAAATTAGAACACACTTCACCCCTAACACCCAAATATCAGATTCAATCTTGAGTAGAGTAAGAGAGAATCCTTGTCCTAGGATCCTGATCTGAGGACACACACAGTTCTGATTCCTAAGACACTGTATCATCACGGCCAATTTTGTTACGTGTATGTTCTAACTTCACTTGTTGACTGTCCCGACCTCTTTGTGGCTTCTGGCTGCCTTGAGACCCTGGATGGTGATGCCCTCCAAGCCCAGCCATCAGGTCACAAGTCTGGCCTGTGTCCTCTGGTTGAGCCTCACATCCTGGACCCTGGCTGGGCTACATCTGCTCTTGGGGGTCATAGCACCTGACAGGCTTTAGCCAGCTCCTGGTCTGGCCCACTCTACCCCCCTGATCTACAGTGAGCACTGTGGCAAGGGCACGAGACGGGCACAGGGAGAGAGGGAAAAGGCGACTGCAAGTTATACTGGATGGTCCCAGCCAAAGCCAACCCCCTTTAAAGAGCTTCTACACTAAGAAATGAGACGCGGTTTGCCAGAAGCATTTCAACACTGACCGCTCACGCGGGCACACTTGACTGAGCAGGTACGGAGACATGAAGGAAAAGCAAGCAGAGGTCCCTCGCCTAGGGAACTTACGTGCTTCTGCTGGAACACACACCCTAAGTCTCACCAGGTGACAGCAATGCGGGGTAGCAGAGACCTGACTCCCAAGCAGGAATTGCACAGTTCTTAAAACCTTCTGCCATAGCAGACCTCACTCTGTGCACAGAAGCCCTGAGGAGGTTCTCAAGCTACAGATTTCTAGGCACCCCCCTGAGGTTCTAGCTTAGGAGGTCTCAGGAATACCCATACCTTTGTGTTTTCCAAAGCTCCACAAAAGTGTCTGATGTGAAGACTGGGCTAAGAACCAAGTAGAGGATATTTAGTATTTCTTAGACGGGAGGTGCCCGCACTCAGTTTCTCTTTCTTTCGCTGTCTGCTACACCTCTTCTCCCCTGTGCTGTTACCATATCCAGGATGATGATTGCTAGCTCTTTCATGTAATAAAAAGTACTAGATGTAACTCAACAGATGTCATGAAAAGTAAAGCAAATAAAAAGTTTTTAGCTTCTCACTGCTGGTTAAGATGCAATATAATGATGCAAATCTGATGCAATTTTTTATATAAATTGCCCCTGAAATACTGAAAACACAGACTGAGGAGAATAGAAAGGGCAACAGCAGGTGTGGTGCCTTGGGTAAAGATGATCCCCTGAAGCTGCACGCCGCTGGTGCCATGAGTAACTTGGTCACGCTCCACCAAGTCCACGTCGGCTGCTCTGGGCATCTTTAAAGTCAGGTAGGACAGGACTGAGGGGTTTCCTTGTCTCCTCTAAAATGTTGCCTGACCCACCACTTCCATGCAACACAGCAAAACAGATCCCTCAAATCTGATCCTTGGGTGGACACAGGCAAGTAATATCAGCTGATCAAAAGGAAGACTAACACTTAGGAGGGTTTATTGTGTGCATGTTGCATCCTATGCTCTTTATATGTACAACTAATTCGATCCTTCAACAACTCAAGGAGGTAGGTATAGCAATTTCCCTACTTCATGGATGAGGCAACTGAGGTACAGAGTGACTGCAAGACTTGCCAAGGTCATAGAGTTGGCAAGCAGCAGCGCTGGGTTCAACCCCAGGCAATCCAGCTCCGGAGCATACAATCTGAAACACTAAGGCTTTGATTACTTTTGTTACATCATTTTCCAGCAAAACCTACAAATCAAATAAGTTAGTATGCTATCTAGGCAAATTATTTTATTTAAATTAATTCTCTTAAGTGTTAATTTCTTGCAAAGATATAAGACCTTCAGCGGTTCACCTTGGAAAACAGTTCAACGGGTGCTGCTATCGCCTTCTGTTCTTTCAAGTACGCTCCCAAGACCACGCTTCCTGGGCAGCTGCTGAAGGGACTGGAAGAGAAGACACATGGCTTTTCTTGGAACAATTAGTGACAGAAAAGTCATAAAATTTAACTGAAGATAAACCCAACAAGCAGGCTAATTAATAAACTGGCAATCAGAGCCTTATCTCTCACTTTGCATGAGCATTTAGTAAAATCAGCTAACCACTCCATGTCCAGCTTTTCCTGTTTCAGAACAGGCTTATGAACATACCCCACTCCCAAGAAGGCAGCTGACGAATACTTAAAACAAGCACCCTCTGACTCCTCTCAAAGAAGAGAGAACCAGTACAGGTTTTCTAGAAGATGATTTGGTTAATTTTTAGGTGAATGACCTGAAATTTTTTTATAATCTCCTTTCACGTTCATACCTCTTTCTGTTGCGAATGTCAATTGGTACAACCTGTCAGAAGGCAATGTGGAAATATATGTCAAAAGCCTTAAAAATTATTCATATACTTTGAACTAGCAATGCTCCTTGTAAGAATTTGTATTGATGCAATTACAGTGGATATGTCCAAGAGCCAAACACAACAGTTTTTATCTTAGAACTCTTCATAATAATGAGACGTTGGAAACAAACTAAAGGTCCACCAAGAGGAGCTTAATTAAACGCATTGTACAGATGTGTCATTTTAATCATAGGCCATAAAAATCACATTGTAGAAGGTCGTTTAATGGCAGAGAAAGGCCATGTTAACGATACACTACTAAGTGTCGGGGAAAAAAAGCAGTTTTGAAAACAAAATGATGCTTTTTGGTAAAATACATAATGGAAATAAAAAAGACTAAAAGTATATAAATCAAAATCTTAAATGAAATCATCTTTAGGTGGCAGGATTATAAATAATTTCTTCCCAATTTTCTTTGTACTTTATTTTTCTGCTTTCCAAATTTTCTAGATAAATAGCTATCCTTTGTAATTCAATAAAATTATCATTTTTAAATAATAAAAATCTGGCCAAAAGGATTAATAATTGTTTTAACTTTATATTTTATTTCCCAATAATTCCTCCTCTACGATTAACATGCTAAGGAGGTAGTCATGATAAAAGTTGATGATAAAAATGTACATCACAACATTATAATAGCAAAAATGCAATATAGTATTAATATGGGAGAAAGGTTAAATAAATTATATTTAAATACATATACATATATGATTATGAAGTTACCAAAACTATATTTTTTAAGTAATAAAATATCTTGAGAATTTTCCGGGTTAAACAAAAATTTTAGTAAGGACACACAACAGTATGTATTATATGATCCTAAATTTTAAAACATAAATTATTGTATACATTAAAATATCCATTTATTCAACATATTTATAAAGCATCTTCTTTGTGCAAGGCACTGCATATATGTGTATCCACACATATAAACACACATATAGAAAAGCAATTGGAAAGAAACAGCAAAATATTAAGTGTCTATATGTGGATGGTGAGATTAATGTAAATATCATTTCCTTATTTGTTACTTTCTATAGTTTTAAAACTCTCTATAAGTATTATTACTTAACCATACACACACACACACACTCGCACAAACACACATTCATATAATACAAATCCTCGGAGAAGATCAGTCAAAAAGTGCTATGTGAGTGTTAATTTAACATATATGTTGCTGTACAATGTTCCTGAAGAAAGTACAGATGGTAAAAGGTCAGAAATGTGTGAGCACTGGTGGCAACAGGTAGGGAGATACACCTCTAAGTCACACATTTGAAACTTCTCAAGACAATAAAGCGGCCTGATGGAATAACAAACATAAAAATCCATTAAGTTGTGCAAAAAGAATTCATGTAGACTTTTAATCATTTAAAAAAATATTTTCTGAGCTCCTCTTTTTGTGTGTGTGTGTGAGAAAGATCAGCCCTGAGCTAACATCTGATGCCAATCCTCCCCTTTTTTCTGAGGAAGACTGGCCCTGGGCTAACATCCGTGCCCATCTTCCTCTACTTTATATGGGACGCCGCCACAGCATGGCTTGACAAGCAGTGCATCGGTGCGCGCCCGGGATCCGAACCGGCGAACCCCAGGACGCCGCAGTGGAGCGCGCGCACTTAACCATTTGCACCACTGGGCCAGCCCCTGAGCTCCTCTTAATGTGTCAATAAGTGTGCTGTCCACCGAAATAAAATATAACCCAGTCCCTGGTCTAGTAGACGAAAAAATAAATAAATAATATCTATTATTTCTTCTTTGATATTCATATATATAATTGACAAAAAAAGGAGTAACTCAAGCTCAGGTTATAAAGAAAAAAATCATATCAATTTATAGTTTAAAAGGAGACACACAGAGCGCATACATTAACATTTCCTATTTTCTAATCACAACTCTTGCTCTTGCTAAGAAACACACTTACTAAAGTGTAAGAGCTTTAAGCAGCATTTTAGTCATCAAATAAGCCTGGCAGACTTGTCATCAATGGATTTCCTCACTCTGAAGACAGTGAGGCGCCCCAGTGCGACCTCCATCGAGGAGCTCACAGTCTCCTGCTTGGCCCATCACAGCCCTTAAAGATTTGCTGCCATTTCTACCACAACATGAGCTACTTTATTTTTCTAAACAGAGAAAGCAATTTGACAAACCGTGAAGATTTTCTGGAAAGATTATTCAACATCCTTATTTTCACATAACCATTTTACTACATTACAATTCTATGCTGTAGAAAAACACATGACAGCAGTGTTGGCTCTAAAGCAAATATAGATATCTCATTTTCTACAACAGCTGTGTTCTTAAAAAGATTGTGTGTAATTTCTCAATTTAATCATATTTCCAATTGTCATATATCATCAATTCACCAGAAACAAATCACATGTAAGACCTTCTTTTATGATCACATAAGTATGCAATGAATCTTTTAAATTATGTCAGAAAAAGAACACGTAATATCAAACAAGAACAACCTACAATGGATTAAATATTTCCGTAAAGCAAGAGCACTACTCAGCAATACGTCGCCTGCACTGCGATGCAGGGCGGACTCCGCCTGCACCCAGGAGCCCGCCACACGCCTTCCCTCCTCACTGACCCCAGCAAGTCTACCCCCTCAGGCTCTCGTCACCTGGTTTCATTCCTCTTCACGGAGATGACATTAGGTAAAATTAACACGAGCTGAAATGAACCAGGTGCTTATGTAGAATCAGAATGTAAGCTCCTAAAAGCAGGGTTCCTCTTGATCTTGTTCATTACTGTATCTCTGGAGCTATAACCAGGCCTGGCCATAAATACTTGTTTAAGGAAGTAAACGGAAGGCAGGAGGCAGGTAGAACAGTACTTTCAGCCTTAAAAATGAATTAAAAGCTATCTATTTTGACCAACTCATTTCTCAATTTCCTGGAGGAAAGGAACCAATTATGACACAGCACTGCTTCAGGCACTGAATTTACTTTTTTTTTTTTTGGCGAGGAAGATTAGCCCTGAGCTAACATCTCTTGCCAATCCTCCTCTTTTTGCCAAGGAAGATTGGCCCTGGGCTAACAACTGTGCCCATCCTCCTCCACTTTATATGTGACGCCACCACAGCGTGGCTTGATAAGTGGTGCACAGGTCCTCGCCCGGGAACCGAACCCACGAACCCCAGGCCGCCAAAGCAGTGTGCGCAAACTTAACCACTAAGCCACCAGGCTGGCCCCCACAAATTTACTTTATTTTTTTGTGTGTGTGAGGAAGATCAGCCCCGAGCTAACATCCAATGCCAATCCTCCTCCTTTTTTGCTGAGGAAGATCGGCCCTGGGCTAACATCCGTGCCCATCTTCCTCCACTTGATACGAGATGCCGCCATAGCACAGCTTGACAAGCTGTGCATGGGTGCCCACACCCGGGGTCCGAACCTGAGAATCTCAGGCCACCAAAGTGAAGCGCACACTTAACCGCTTGTGCCACTGGGCCAGCCCCAAATTTACTTTATTTTTTATGCAGTTTTCTCAGCCATACTACAGACATGACATTCATTTTATAAAATATTAGCAAAAAGAGCATTCTGACCCTCCTGTCTCTGCTCCCCCTAAAAGCAGGAAGTAAATCTCCCCTGTGAAAGGTGCTCTCCCTGCATCCTCATCACCAGAGCTGGGGAATTCAGGGCCAAGAGGCCTGCATGAACAAAGCTTGCTAATTTACTCCCTCAGCCTAAACTCTGCTTAAATTCTTCACTAATTACATACCTTGAATCTAAGTTTCTTTGTCCTGTTATTCCTCACAAATTTGTTTCTTTGTATAAAAGACATATAATACTGCCTGTTTTGTTCACTCTCCCAGCATCATTTCTTTATGGTCTCCAATACATACATATTAAACTGGGCTTTTCTCCTGTTAATCTGGCCTTGTGTCAGTTTTATTATTAGTCCAGCCCTATGAACACAGGAA